AGATTTGTGGAAAGGTTTACGTGTGAAATTCAGCATGTTCAACGTGTTTGTTGCAAAAGGATTCTGCCATAATATTCAGCGATGCTTACCCATGGGAGTGAGTTGACAATCCTGATTCGGTTTTTGAACTGTACTTAAGAAGCCATAGATCCTCTCAAAGTCCACTACACACTTGACACCAAACATGTTTTTTGTGGCATATTTGCTGGTCCGACCAAACTTGGCATGAAATGCTGTGGCGGAGACGGACTGTGGGAGAGTAGTGGGTGTGGAGCAGCTGGAAATGGCTGAAGAGGCAGCAGTGGATAATACAGAACGGGGGACTGAAGTAAGGGTAGTGGCAGAGCAAGAGGCGGGCACATTAAGGCTGGAAGACAAAGACTGAGAGGTGGAGGTGATGGCGACGGTGGTGGGCTGTGGCTCGGTGGGCTGCTGGGTGGTCTTGTTTATTGACCTGCTAAGACTTGGAGATGTTGAAGACCTAGAAGGGGGTTGAAGCGGTCCTTTCTCTGGCGTCGCTGTCAGAGATGCAATCTGTAGATATACACATGGTTTGTCAGAAGTTTCAAATGTGGGCGCAGGCTGTTGCTGCGGTAGACAGATTGTGCCGTTTGGCACGCTACATACTTGAGATGGTGCTGGCGGTGTTTTGGATGGCCTTGTGGTTGGTGCTGGAGTCTTGGGTGACTGGACTGCCTTTGTGTACCGATGCGCACCTAGAGAGGGACGTTTTACATTTTTAGCTGCAATATATTTTTTCACAATAATATGGCAGCAACTATCAACACATGTAATAAGGCGTTACCTTGGGGATCAGAAAGGACACACCTACAGTTTGGCTACTCTGGTCTGCATCTGTGGATGTGTTTGTAAACTTGCAGCTTTTCCCTGCGATTTGGTTTCTAACTGAACTCCTGCAAACCTTAATTCATCCCTACAAACCATGTGAGACTGTTCACTCTGCTTACTGGTCAGCTGTGTCTGTGGCAGGAGTAACAGAAGTAAATACAGGGAGATGTTGCTGTGTGCCGGACTACTGCAGAACATGGACAGTTTACATAGAAATCACAGTTAGCTGCTAACCCATATATTGATACCTATGGTATATCTACCTGCACATTTTTAGTACCTTGATGGTGGAAATAACTCGTTTTTAATGTAAACAGACTAAACACCACAGGTGTGTAAAGACCCAAAGACACAAAACAAACAGGCTGGTGACCACTTTCATGGTTGTGACAGAGTATCTGGTCTCACAATCCATATGCAAGTGGCACGACAGCTCTATGAGATTGTTTTAATATACAGTAAAAGCCATAGAAAGCAGGCAGGTGTTTGTATTTGTTTACATATTTTTCCCGTTACCATGTTCAGGTGCCCAAAATATGGAGCATATTGTGATATTACATTTCACAATATGGGAAGCTGTTATTCCAGCTTTATTCTTAAATGGATTAAACTCATTTTCCAATACAACACTCCCTAATGACAAAGTTTGCTTGAGAATTTCAATACATTTGCTTTTATTCCAAATTTATTAGAGTTAAAAACCAAAAATACAACACGCACATAAGTATTCACAGCCTTTACCGCCACACTCGAAACTGACTTCGGGTGCGCTGCATTTCCTGTTCCCGTCTACAACTTAATTAGAGTCAAGCCTTGGTAAATTTATTGATTGGACAAGAAAGGCCAGCTCATAGTTTATGGTGCAGGAGCTGTCTGTAGACCTCCAAGACAAGACAAACACAAATCAAGGCTGCAGACAAACTTCGTGAAGGCCCCAGTGAGCACAATGGCCTCCATCAAGTTTAGAAGCACCAGGACTCTTCCTGGAGCTGGTGCTGGTCAAGGTGTGCGACCGGGTGGAAGGGCCTTAGTAAGGCAGGTGACCAAGAATCCAATAGACACTTGTGGGCGATCGTGGCTCAAGAGTTGGGAGTTCGCCTTGTAATCGGAAGGTTGCCGGTTCGAGCCCCGGCTTGGACAGTCTCGGTCGTTGTGTCCTTGGGCAAGACACTTCACCCGTTGCCTACTGGTGGTGGTCAGAGGGCCCGGTGGCGCCAGTGTCCGGCAGCCTCGCCTCTGTCAGTGCGCCCCAGGGTGGCTGTGGCTACAATGTAGCTGCCATCACCAGTGTGTGAATGGGTGGATGACTGGATATGTAAAGCGCTTTGGGGTCCTTAGGGACTAGTAAAGCGCTATATAAATACAGGAGTTTGTTACTAGCAGCTATATAAATACAGGCCATTTACCATTTACTCTGGTGACGTTCCAGTGCTGTTCCACAGAGGGAGGAGAACGTTCCACAACGACAACCACTTCTGCATTATTCGACCAATCAGACCTGTATGGTCGACTGGACAGATTAAAGTGAATCCTCAGTAAAAGCGATGATGCTTGCCTGGAATTTGCCAAAATAGATCTGAAAGGCTCTTACACCATTCTTGCCTGATGAAGCAAAGACTGAACCCTTTGGCCTCGTCTGGCTCTCTTCCACAGCGTCTTGTGTCATGTCTAACACCCCTCATCCCCAACTAGTTGCAGCAGATGGCAGCCTAAGCCCTGCTTTGTTGCGGCTTTCTTCCTGTTAAAAAGTAGGTGCTCCCCATCCAACCTGATGGAGCTCGAGAAGTTCTGTAAGTAGAATGGGAGAAACTGCCAAAAATAGGTGGGCAAAGGTGGGTAACTTATCATTTTGTCATTATGGGGTGTTAGGTGTAGAATTTCTGCTATGATAAATCAATTTAGTCCATTTTGGTCTTGACATTGTAACATGACAAATTGTGGTCCAAGTGAATACTTTACGGATGCACTGTGAACCTTCAGGGGGAATGTTTTTGTTGTCTGTCAATCATTTCACACTGACCTATGAAACACATAAAAATATAGAAATAAATCAGTGTAGCGTCAATACTGGCAGGGCCCAGTCAGACCCTTCAGCCTCCTTGCAAATGCACCTATAGTATAAACCTCTGTCTCTCTTCCACAGCATGTCTTTATCCTGTCTTCCTTCTCTCACCCCAACCAATCGCAGCAGATGGCCCCGCCCCTCCCTGAGCCTGGTTCTGCTGGAGGTTTCTTCCTGTTAAAAGGAGTTTTTCCTTCCCACTGTCGCCAAATTGCTTGCTCATAGGGGGTCATATGATTGCTGGGGTTCTTTCTGTATGTATTATTGTAGAATCTACTGTACAATATAAAGCACCTTGAGGTGACTGTTGTTGTGATTTGGTGCTGTGTAAATAAAACTGAGTTAAATTCAATTCCAAAATCCAAAATGCCTCATTCTCAACTTGCGTTTAAAAGATTTCCAGAAAACCTCACGATCAAGTTCACTGGCATTCAAAGTTGTTTGAAATTTTTTAGCAGATACATCTAGATTATCATTTTCAAAATCCTAGGTGACTTCCTTCTCCAGTTACTACATCACTTCGTTCTTGAGTTACGGCATACATAAACTTGAGTGTTGGCATTGCCCACCCTCATTCCATCCAGTGTGATAAAAATACAAGACCAGCCCTTTATGGCTGATTTACCATGAAAAAAAATTCTAATTATAGGCGCTTTGTTACTAGCAGCCTGTCACTTAAAGGTTAACTGAGAAACTGAGAAAGATAACACAATTTGACAGTACAAAAAAATATATACTTTTGCACCGACAATGCGATTCAGAAAGAGCCATTAAGCAAAAACCTGGCGTACATCAGCATACTGTGCAGTGTGCGCTTAGAAAACACTCTACCGCTTACCAAACGTTTATCAGAAATGGTCTCAATACAAGGATGGCTACCATTGAAAATAAAAAGGAGCAGGCTCTCGTTTCTGGCAGCTGCCACGTTGCCCCACTATCCTGAGCACATGATGCTGAGAGGTGGTTGGAGGAGCTACAGGTTTGTACCTTGCACTGGCACCGGTATTGGCCTCAAAGGGATGGTACGACCATCTGTGGGTGGTCTGTGCACCTGGGGAGGGTCACCATTTCTCAAAGTGCAAGGCTCTGTAGAAGACACGATCAGCATCTGAAAACAGACAGAAGCAGAATGTGGGAGAACAACATTGATTCAACTGTGTTTTTAACTACACAAATGTAACTATCAGCAGGAATTTTAAAAGCAAAGAACAGAAAACTTTAGTTTAATTTACATGCAGCAAGAATTATTCCTTGCAAATTAAGATGAGCTGTTGCACATTATTGATTTGTCTTTTTTGAAAAAGCTATATTCATTTTTATATCAGCCAAGCTCATGAAGGTGGTACTTTACGAGCCATATATTTTCTGAGGTGGTACTCGTCATAAAAGGTTTGAGAACCGCTGCTCTAGCTGATCTCGATGAACACCAAGGTGTTCCCAGACTAGCTGAGATATACAGTCTCTCCAGCATGTCCTGGGTCTGCCCTGGAGCCTCCTTCTGGTGGGACATACCTGTTACGCCTCACCCAAGAGGCGCCCAGGAAGATGTTAGATGCCCGTACCACCTTTACTGGCTTCTTTCGATGTGGAGGAGTAGCAGCTCTACTCTGAGCCCTCCTGGGATGGCCAGAACACTCAGCTCTCTTTTCACCACAATTTTAGGTGCAGCGTCTGCATCGCTGCAGCATCGATCTGTCTGTGGATTTCCTGCACCCCCTTCTCTCATCACTCAACAAGACTCCGAGATACTTAAACGCCCCCACTTGGGACAGTAACACGGCGTTGACTCCACCCTTTTTCTGGCTATGAACCATGGCCTCAGACTCAGAGGTGCCGCTTCACACTCGGCTGTGAACCGCTGCAGTGCGAGCTGGAGGCCACCACCTGATGAAGCCAACAGAACCACATCATCCGCAAAGAGCCGAGACGAAATTCTGAGACCACCCAATTTAAATTCTGTCCATAAAAATTTTGAACAGAATTGGTGGTCGATAATTCCAAAAGCACCTCTCACAGAATACTCCCAGGGACACGGTCGGATTCCTTCTGCAAGTTCACAAAAGACATGTAGACTGGTTGGGCACTGGCACCCACCCCGTGCAACCTCAAATAAGATTCGGAAAGTACTGGGAAAAATTATCTGATACAAATATGTGAAACGATATACTTTGAAAAACTTTGTTTTGCGTGTTTGTCTATGAGTCTTTTTCAATTAAGAGATTGTCAGTGGGTCTTTGGGTATAAAGAACAGGCTCCACCACTTTCCCCCCTCTTTGTTGGAGACAGCACAAAGCAAAGATGACAATCAGCACAAGGAGACGTTTTACCGATTACCACAGCAATTCAACTTGAGAAACATGAACAGGTAGGAAAGAAGCTTGACTTGTTAACTGCTGAAGTTCAGTTCTGGCTGCTGGGCTGGGGTCTGAGTAACTTAGCATTAGCATTAGCATCCTGTCTGTACAGGTGTTTGCAGAGCGCTGAAGTTCTGTTAGCAGTATAATAAGAGATTTGTTTTTCTGTCCTGGATGTAGTTTGCACTTTATCATCATGCTCTTGTCCTTTTCTTCAATAAAAATAAGAGTTCGGTCCATATCCACGCTGTAGACTGCGCCACTATTTTTATAATAAAAATAAAGTTGAACTAAATTTAAAAATGCCTACCTGAGAGAAAGCAGTGGAAATAGATTCCTCAAGGGTTCCCACTAAAGAAGAGGCCATGTATGTCCACTCCTCAATGGGTTTTCTAACGTTCCTCTCCTCCCTCCTTTGCCTTTTCAGCTTCAACCTGGTATTTAAGAGCACTTTGTTCTTCAGAAGTTCAACCACAGACTGGATCTGAAGGAGGGAAAGGACAGTGCGTGTCTTTATGCACAGTCAGCACACACAGTATAAACAAAAATTTAAAAATATAAACTCAGTTCAAAGTAAGGAATCTTGTGTTAGATTATTTTTTGTAACAATATTTGGCAATAAACCTCATGCTCTTTAGTCCCCTTAAATGCTGTCACGTTTCTAAGGAAAATGCACTTGCAGCGGTTACAACGATGGAAAACTTGCCAAATCTTCTCTACCAATGACAAACAACTTATTCTGACAGTCAGGTCCCTGTGAGCATGGTCAAAGTATGCCACGCTGACTGACCCACACCATAGAGCAACCTTAAGCTGGTGTTGTTGGTCCTAAATCTCCAAATTGAAGACCAAGTTCGACATAATGGGAGATGTCAGCACAGGAACCATAGGCGGTCTTCTACAGATTTGCAGGATTATACTCCAGACAATCTAGCATAGACGGCCAGTCTCTGGCCTCATAGGGCTGCCATGACTGCCCTTTACTGTTTGCACTGGTATTGACAACATGTGCACTGGAACCTGAAGATGTGGAGGAATATCATCTTTGGTGATGAGTCCAGATTCTGTCTATGGCAGTCTGGATACACGGAGGACGCTACGCTGCTTGCTGCACCAATAAGGTGACAGCTTTTAGCTTTTGGTGAAGGAAGTGTGTGATGGTGTGGGATGCCATCTTTCTCACTGGAAATCCAAAGTTTGTCATTACTGGGGACACATATTTCCAGTTTCTTCAGACTTTAATCATCCGATCCAATAAATGACACTAAATTTGAGCTGTTTGGCAGTGACAACGATCTGAAGGCACAAATACACGTTCCTTACGATTTAAGGGGAAATATACAGATTCAAGACGTATTAAAAATTAGGACTGTTAAAACAAACAAATAACCACTCAAACACATACTTCCTTACTTTCTGTTTATATAAATTAAGAAGGATATTTACGAAAGACTTGTTTTGACTTAAGTACCAACGAAAAGCGTCGTTTCTGTATGAGGGCCGTACCTCTGAAAGGGACCGAGTAGGCAGGTGTTTCCTCAGGAAGGCACAGTCGATGTCTGTTTTTCCTGCGGCGGTCCCGCTACTCAGTCTTTTAAGGGCAACAAGAAGTTTCTTCTTCTCGTCTCGATGCCAGCTGCATTTACCGGAACGTTCCGGCTCAGCGTCCAGTCTGTCAGCCCACTTTGTCCGAGTAACGCGAGGATGCGGCTTCATGTTCGCCTGAGATTCAACACAGGCTCCTGCTACTCACGTAAAGCTCAAAGCAGGAAAACCCAGTGCGCATGCCCTTTGCTCCAAAACTTCCGATAATACATTTTCAGAATAAAAGTTGAATATTTCTATTTGCTACAAATAATTTGTTGTTCAGTGTGCACTGAACTGAAATTGCATTTATTTGGTGATACAATTAAAGAAAAAGCGTTTCTAATGACCAAGGCTTATGATTTTTTTATTACATGTGATAATAAAAAATAAAACAAACAAACTGTCTGTCACATCAATATTATACAATAAAAAAACAGAACTTTTTGCGCTCCACAGGTTTGGAATGTGAAATCAAAGCATTTAGATCCCTTGCTCTCTCTCTCTCTCACACACACACACACACACACACACACACACACACACACACACACACACACACACACACACACACACTTTTAAAAAAATGTTTTTTTAGCGTATGTTGTAGATGAGTAGGTTTTCATTTTATTTTGAAGGTCGTACTGTTTCCGGGTAACTTCAGCGCTGATCTTCTCCGAGGTAACTCAGCATAAAAATATGGGCAAAGCTTCGTGAAATTCTGATCGCCTGCCAAAAAGTGAGAAAAGATTTAAGCTGTTATACTTGACCTGTTGACCTACATCTGTCAAAAATAGGCCAATCATATCTGTCACAAACAAATTCAAGTATTTAAAGGCCAAAACGAGCTTTCCTGTCACTAAGTAGCTCCTGCAGTCAGTGTTTGGTAAAATATATATATCCTTTATTTATCTGGGTAAAAAGTGTAATGTTTTCAAAAAAGATCTTCCCCAAGAGGGAAGCAGAAATTGTGACAAATATAACGTCACAGTTTTATAAACTTATTTGAAACTTATGGATTGATGACAAAATGGGCACAAATATGCAGTCATAAAGATACTTCAGAAACAGGTCATTAATGTATTTGATATATAACCTCTTCATAAATCCTGTCACTACAGTCTGTTTACAGAATTAAAAATTAGATGTATAAAAAACAACAACATAAAAACGGAAATCAAATTTTGTCACAACACCTGACTTGAAGATCTTGAAGATGTTGTTCTGTGAAACAATGATTAATGTCAAACAAAGCTCCTTATTATACCAGACTGCCAGTTTTTATGAAAAAGAGAAATACTCGCACAAACAAGGAAAGAAAAGTTAAAGACTCTGTTAAAGACAGCAGGCTGTGACTCTAATAATCAATGTGCTTCAGCAAAATTCTCCATTTGTTAACATTCGTGTTGCTCACAATAAATCAATCATGCGCTGTGGGTCAGCACGTCACCTGGGCCTGCCACGGCCGCCCCGCGGTTCAGCATGCCGCCCAGACCTGCTCTCCCCTTGCCGGGGTCAGCAGCGCGCCTGAGAGACGTGCTCTGAATGAACCTGAGGTCAGCACTTCGCCTGGACCTGCCTAATGATTTTTCATGCATTGGAGCCAGCCAACACTGCCTACGGCTGCCATGCCACCATCGGCTCAATTGCCTGCGGCTCCAACGTCACCACCAGCTCTACCATCAGTAGCTTCTATCTCACTGTCAGGTCCAGCCAAGTCTCTGCCTGAGCCGGAGGTCAGCGTGCCGCCTGGACCTGCTCTGCCCAAGCCGGAGGTCAGCACATCGCCTGGACCTGCCACAGCTACACCAGAGGTCAGCATGCCGCCTGAAACCTGCCATACCCGCATCAAAGGTCAGCACACCTGAGAGACCTGCTCTGCCTAACCCATAGGTCAACACCCCGCTTGGACCTGTTCTGCCTAACGTGAGGCCTGTGCAGTGCCTGTACCTGCACTGCACAAGTCAGAGTTCAGCGCGTTGCCTGGACCTGACAGCGCGGGCATGGCCGAAAATTTTCTAGGCAGGTCCAGGCAGCGCGTTGACCTCCAGCGCGTTGCCTGGACCTGCCTAGAGAATTTTCGTGCATTGGAGCCATCCACACTGCCTGCGGCTTCCAAGTCACCATCGGTTCAACTGCCACCCTTTGCTTTGATTACTGCTTTGCACACTCTTGGCATTCTCTCCATGAGATTCATGAGGTCGTCACCTGAGAAGGCGTTCCCAGAGATGCTGAGCACTTGTTGGTCCTTTCACCTGCAGTCAGCTGAGACTGAAGAAGTCACTTCAGTCTCAAACTAATTTCTCCCACGATGTCCAGATGTCCAGAATCCACTGTTTGGGAGTCTTTGATATCAGCTCTGATATTTCTGCTGCTTCACTAACTGATCAGTATCATTAGCCGCTATAGTAAGCCAAAACAGTTCGCAGCCGTGTGTGAAGCGGTGGGAATGAGAATAAGTGCCTCCAAATCTTAGGCCATGGTCCTCAGCAAGAAAAGGATGGAGTGCCCACTCCGGGTCAGGGATGAGTTCCTGCCCCAAGTGGTGGAGTCCAAGTATCTCTGGGTCTCGTTCACGAGTGACAGGAGAAGAGAGCAGGAGATCGACACGTGATCGGCAGTGATGCGGCCGCTGTACCGGTCTGTTGTGGTGAAGAGAGAGCTGAGTGTAAAAGTGAAGCTTCCAATTTACCTGTCGATCTACGTCCCTACCTTCAACTATCGTCACGAGCTGTGGGTAGTGACCAAAAGAGC